TTAAATCACAGGTTTAAATACCAATGAGGAACGGTGAGAACGGTCCTTCAAAAGGGACCATAAAAACTTGTCCAGTGTCACAGAAGATGCTGTCTCAAAAAGATCCCACTGCTTAATGGCAAAAAAGGGCTTACACTGTATTACGTCTAAATTTTTGAGCAATGGGGAAATGTTCAAATGTCGTCCCAACAAATCTCAAAGGGATTAAAAGCAAAGAAACAACCAATCTTTAAGGGTCTAATTAAAGAAAATGACACTGGACGTCTCGAGAAGCTAAATTTTATATTTCAAAACTATTTGAAAAGAGTATTTAAACAATATTTAAATTAACCAAACCGAATCTACAAATGATTAAAATGCTATATAAAATGATGTCATACATGTGTAGTCAAGAAGTTTAACCCGTAAATGAAGGCATGAAAAAGTACAACTGAATTATATTTCTCAGGATGAATATGCACACATAGATATCACAACCCCTATGATTACATAATGACATATTGTTAACAAGAAACGTAGATGAATTGTTTATTAGATCAAAACTCAAATTAAATAAAATGCACATCTCGACGCTATTTTGTTGCCATCAAATGCTTGAAAATTACAGTAGAACAATGTCAGCCGTTCTGATAAAAAATTTAAAACTGATTTTGATGAAATTGTATTTTATAAAACTTGGTTGACAATAAAAATAATTTCTGAATCATATTATTGAAAAAATCTTTCCAGTCGGCAAGTTTTAGTTGGGTCGGTTGCGTTAGGGGAAACAAAAGGTATTTTTATTTTGGCCTAAGTCCTATCGTGTCGATAAAAATTTGAGTTTTTTTCACGTGATATGCATACGTGTACATAGCTTTAGCAGGTAGTATATATTAGGTCCTTGGTTTTAGACAGCAGGAGAAAGTGTGCAATTATTATTTAACCCCTCATCAGAAAGTGTTTTATGTATATATATATGCAAAAGTCAAAACGTTTGTACGATATTCGAAGCAACTGTTAATCATCTAAAACAACTCCAATATGACTAATTAAAAAGTTAACGCACACCGCACGAATGGCCATAGCATTAGCTCTTTGAGCCTTTGATATGGAGATAAGTATGAGTATTCAAGATCAAAAGTCCACGAAAGAATACAAAAAAGGAGCAAAGCAAACATGGACCTCCAAAACATCAGAACTGGGATCAGGTGTCATGGAGGAGTGAACATTCCATGCCCATCAGTCATACCCGCCGTGTGCTTCTTGTCATGATCGGGAAATTAGGGAATATCAATTACCAATTCAGTGTATAAATATGGACTAACAATTAGTGAAAAACTAATCAGTTTTTGGACTCAATTATAAATTATTTTAGCTATAAACAAGATTATTGTATCTGCCATAGAACTAACGAAATTATGACTTCAAATGAGACTGCTTATCAATTATAAAATTAAGCAGAAAGTAATGCATGATTAATATACATGTGCTTCAATAGAAGCAAGACAAATGCATATAATAAACACTAATCATGTAATAAAAACATACCTTTATGTGTCCATCCTTGTAAATGGAACCTTCCTGGCTAGACCTCTTTCCAACCTTATCATCAAACTTCTTCTCCATATTCATGAGAACTGAAGAAAGCACGAGGACTAAGAAATATCTGGTGTGAGGCTTAATATGCACAAACACTGCCCTGCAAAGTCAGTCATGGTTATTTTTTTCTCTGGATGACCCGATACATCTTTGGAAACTCGTAAAATTCCTGATAATTCTGATTTCTCAGGAACATTTTGTCTGCCGTCTTCAACTACTTCCTTTTTCAGGAAGGCAGCAGCTTCATTTCCTTTACGCGACTCAGCCGAATTCAAGCTCTCATGTTTCATTTCTTCATCACTGGACAATTCTTTATCACTTGTTCTACTGCCTATCTCCGTTTGAAATCCTTTCTCTTCAACATTCAACTTTTTCTTGTCACCAAATAAAACTGCAGGCTGTTCTGAATTACTCTGTTGTTCGCTTGATTCATCAATTTTAACTTTAAAGCGTTGTTTTTTTGGCTTGATGAATTTACTGCAAAACAAAAATTACATATTTGAATTTTTTTCTTTTTAAAGTAATATATGCCGTATGAATGCCGATTTGTATGTAAAACAAAATGATCAAATGATTTGAAACACACAAAGTGTAATGGAAAAATAATATTTCCACAAAATTTAACTATAAAACTCTTTGTAATAACAGAACAATAAAGCAATATTTGCAAACAAGAATTCAGTCTTTTCATGAATATTGAAAAAGGAAGTGCGTAAACAGTAGGTCTAAATATAGACACGTATGTCCACGGGAAATTATAGACAACGAGGCATGTTGCATTTTGACAACGATTATTAATAAAAGGTTAATATGCGTCATAACAGAGTATAGATGGTTGATACTGATTACATTTAAAGATAAGTTATATTTAATAGTAACACGCCATCCATGTCAAAAGTGAGTTGTATCTCAAAGGGCTAACCTAACTTTCCTGACGCTGTGCTTGTTTATCAATCTAAAAGTAGCGACAGCGTCACGTGGTGGATTTACTTAAAAATAGACATTATTTTCCTTGCAGGATAATAAATAATTATAATTTGATAACTTTAAAATGAGTTTTATTTAAATGGTGTAATTTACAGCATTTTCGTAACTTTTATGGTAATCAAAATATATAAATTTCCAGCCGTATTTTAAAATGGCGCAAGTTATAGAGTATATTACTTTAATCATTCTATTAATTTCTTTAAATTCAAACATAAATTTTGAACATCACTAGTTTAGCTGATCCAAATTATTTCATGAAATTTAGAACAAGTCAGACATGAAGGTCATCTCTCTCTCTCTCTCTCTCTCTCTCTCTCTCTCTCTCTCTCTCTCTCTCTCTCTCTCTATCCTGTACATGAATTAATTAAAAGAGTTGTTCAAGATTATAATGGAATTATGATAAGTTTTATTTATTCAATGACATTGGTTTAATTTTCAAGGTCATGATTCAGCTCATTCGAATATTGCTAAAACTAGACATTCAAAGTTTTTATGTCACAAATTTAATCAAGAGGCCCAGGGGCCACAGCGCTCACCTGAGCACATCAGGCTTGAATTAACTCCAACCCACCCCCATCCACCCCCCTCCTGGTGTTCATCATTTGAACAAACTAGAATCTGCACTACCTGAGAATGATTCCATATAAATATCATTAATCATAGCTTTGAATTACTTGTAAAGAAGATATTAAAAGGTTTCCCTATATATCCCTAAGTAAAACTGGGGTCGGCCATTTTGGCCCCAGAAGTTATGGAGAAGAAGATTTTTAAAAAATTTTTATATATATATTCCTATGTAAAACTTGGGTCGGCCATTTTGGCCCCAACCTTGCCCCGGGGTCATGATTTGAACAAACTTGAATTTGCACTACCTAAGGATGATTCCACATGAGTTTTATCTTTCCTGGCCCAGTGGTTCTGGAGAAGAAGATTTTTAAAGAATTTTCCTATATATTCCCATGTAAAACTTGGGTTGGCCATTTTGGTCCCACCCTTGCCCCGGAGGTCATGATTTGAACAAACTTGAATCCAAACTACCTGAGGATGATTCCACATGAGTTTCATCTTGCCTGGCCCAGCGGTTCTGGAGAAGAAGATTTTTTAACAAGAGGCCATAGTTTATTTGATGCCCTGTCCCATGAGCAAAAAAAAGAATTTCAAAGAATATGTGTATTTCACTAAATAATCTACATATCCCTTCCATTAACCCCTGGTCCGGAGGCCAGGAAATTCACAATAATACTTGAAGTTACCTAAATGTACATACAAGTAACACAAAATCTCATTTCTCTATGTCTTTTGCACAGGTGCTTGTGTTGTTTTGAAAAGGGCAGATGAGGGATTAGGTGCAAATTAGCGAATTTACTGTTTGTGTGTAAAGTACATTGAATATTGTCAATTTCTAAACATGGAATGTTTCATGTGATGTTCTGATGTCTGAAAGAGTTTCTTAATATTTCTCACAACAAATCATCTACAAATATGGCTTTTTCACTTTTTAAAGTCTTCTGAGAATAAAAAACAAGAAGTATGTAAAGTTACAAATAAAATTTTTAATAAAGTTTTTTAAAAACATATTTGGAGTGTTAGGAAAAATATTTAAAATCATTTGAAACTAGAAATATGTCCATAGGACATGAATGCCCCGCCAAGGATATATCAGTAAAGCAACATGAAAGTTAGTATGTGTTTAAAATTTGATCAGAATATCCAGAATAGTTATGCAGCTGAATTGCTTGTTTGGAAAATATAGGTCAGATCCAGCATTCGAAGCAAGTCTGGTAGTGTCCATCCCTAGATGCATCATCCATGCAAGTTTGGTTCAGGTAGGGCTTATAGATACTTGGGAATGAAAATATAGGTCAGATCCAGCATCCAAAGCAAGTCTGATAGTGTCCATCCTTAGATGCATCATCCATGGAAGTTTGGTTCAGGTACGACTTATAGTTACTTGGGAATGAAAATGTAGGTCAGATCCAGCATCCAAAGCAAGTCTGGTAGTGTCCATCCCTAGATGCATCATCCATGCTAGTTTGGTTCAGGTAGGGCTTATAGATACTTGGGAATGAAAATATAGGTCAGATCCAGCATCCAAAGCAAGTTTGGTGGTGTCCATCCCTAGATGCATCATCCATGCAAGTTTGGTTTAGGTAGGACTTATAGTTAGTTGGGAATAAAAATATAGGTCAGATCCAGCATCCGAAGCAAGTTTGGTGGTGTCCATCCCTAGATGCATCATCCATGCAAATTTGGTTCAGGTAGGACTTATAGTTAGTTGGGAATGAAAATATAGGTCAGATCCAGCATCCGAAGCAAGTCTGGTAGTGTCCATCCAAAGTTTCATCATCCATATAAGTTTGGTTCAGGTAGGGCTTATAGTTACTGTGAAATGAAAATATAGGTCAGATTCAGCATCCGAAGCAAGTCTGGTATATTGTCCATCCAAAGATGCATCATCCATGCAAGTTTGGTTTAGGTAGGACTTATAGTTATTTGGGAATGAAAATATAGGACAGATCCAGCATCCGAAGCAAGTCTGGAAGTGTCAATCCCTAGATGCATCATTCATGTAAGTTTGGTTCAGGTAGGGCTTATAGTTACTTGGGAATAAAAATACAGGTCAGATCCAGCATCCGAAGCAAGTCTGGTAGTGTCCATCCTTAGATGCATCATCCATGCAAGTTTGGTTCAGGTAGGGCTTATAGTTACTTGGAAATGAAAATATAGGTCAGATCCAGCATCTGAAGCAAGTCTGGTAGTGTCCATCCCTAGATGCATCATCCATGCAAGTTTGGTTCAGGTAGGGCTTATAGTTACTTGGGAATGAAAATATAGGTCAGATCCAGCATCCGAAGCAAGTCTGGTAGTGTCCATCCCTAGATGCATCATCCATGCGAGTTTGGTTCAGGTAGGACTTATAGTTTCTTAGGAATGGACATGCTTTAAAAACTTTAACCTGGTCACTCTTCTGGAAAATGTAGGTCAGATCCAGCATCCGAAGCAAGTCTGGTAGTGTCCATCCCTAGATGCATCATCCATGCAAGTTTGGTCCAATTATGGCTTATAATTTCTTAGGAATAGACATGCTATAAAAACTTTAACCTGGTCACTCATCTGGAAAATGTAGGTCAGATCCAGCATCCGAAGCAAGTCTGGTAGTGTCCATCCCTAGATGCATCATCCATGCAAGTTTGGTCCAAGTGGAGCTTATAGTTCCTTAGGAATGGACCTGTTCCAAAATCTTTTACCTGGTCACTCGTCTTGAAAATGTCGGTCAAATCCAGCATCCGAAGCAAGTCTGGTAGTGTTCATCCCTAGATGAACCATAGCTCTCATCAATATCTATCAGCATATGAAGTTTGATGAAAATATCTTGGATAGTTTCTTTGAAACTTAGCTTTGAACAGAGCTAAACACAAAGTGTGACGGAGGGACGAAAGGACGGAAGGACAGAAGGACGGAAGGACGGAAGACGGACATGACAAACACTATATGCCCCGGCCATATTCATGGCGGGGCATAAAAAAAGTTTAAATGAAAGGAAAATTGGTATTTAAAATACTGGATTTGGAACAGCAAATTTGGAAGATTTTAACTACTGAAATTGTAACAAGTTAACTAAATTGACAGGTTGGAAAAACAAAGTATAAAACGTCATCATTGAAATCTATATCTACTCTTTAAAAACGTCTAAAAACAAGAGGCCCATGGGCCACATTGCTCACCTGAGAAGCTTTGACCATTCTGTTCTTTACCAGATTTCAGCCCTTGTTATACATAATGCATCCCCACATTACCCCACTGATCATAATTTAGATATTTTGAAATCTACACTACCCAATGATTCTTCCATTGGCACATATGTTTCAGCTTTTTTGGCCCAGTGGTTCCTGAGAAGAAGATTTTCAATGATTTTTCCTATATATTTATATGTAAAACTTTGATTCCCTATAATGGCCCAGCCCTTCCCCCAAGGGTCATGATTCCTATAATTTAGAATTTACACTACCCCAGAATGCTTCCACATAAGTTTCAGCTTTTCTGGCCCAGTGGTTCTTGAGAAGAAGATTTTCAGATTTTCCCCATTGTGGCCCCGCCCTTCCCCCGTGTCATTATTTGAACAATTTAGAATCTACATTATACCAGGATGCTTCCACATAAGTTTCAGCTTTTTCTGGCCCCGTGGTTCTTGACAAGAAGGTTTTCAAAGATTTTTTCTTATATTTTAATATAAAACTTTGATACCCCATTGTACCCCCCCCCCCCCTTCCCCTGGGGGTCATGATTGAATAATTTGGAATCTACACTATACAGGATGCTTCCACATAATTTTCACCTTTTCTGGCTTGTGGTTCTTGAGAAAATTTTCAAAGATTTTTCCTATATATTTCTATGTATAACTTTGGTTCCCCATTATTGCCCCAACCATCCCTGGGGTCATTATTTGAACAATTTAGAATCTACATTATACCAGGGTGCTTCCACATAAG